AATGGGGGTGTTTTCAGAGCACCCCTGTTTCACAGGTAACAGCCTGTCTTCAGAACACCCTCCTTGTTTTCACTTTTTTGGATTAGCCCAACCCACTGGCGACAGATTGAAGAAAGTACTAGAAGGCATTGGTATGGAGGTTTGCTGAATATTAATTTAATTGCGAGCGTTTAATTTACTGTCAGTCCTACTTTACCATGTCATAGACATCGACAGAGTGACAGCATTTTACGAAAATAGATAACGGAAAAAAGTCGAATGCAAAGTTTGCAAGCAACAGTTTGCATATCACAGCTCGACTACAAACATGGCATATCACCTAAAAACGGTGAGCTAACTTGTCTGGGTTAGGTTGCCCCGTCTGTTTTGAGCAGGCTATATGAATGAACATAAGAATTGGCATTGAAATATGCCAATTAGTAATAATCATGTTTATAACTGCAGGCGCACCCGCACGCAACGACAGTATTGCGTAATTGTGCTGTATTTGTTTAGAGCCAGTAAAAAAATAAATAATTTAATGATGTCACGGAATGGGTAAGACAAAAGGTGTGAGGACTCAAGTGCAGGAGAAAATTATACTTTAATTATAAAATAAACAAACACAAACCAAAACCCACAAGGGGGGAAAACACAATGAATAAAAATAAAACAACAACAGAACCTGAACAGAGGATCACGGGGAACGGGAGACATTAGACAACGATCCGACAAGGACTGCAAACAAGAGGAGACTTATGGCCCTGTCCACACGGACACGGGTATTTTTATAACCGTGACTTTTTTTACGCGGTTCGGCCGTTCGTCCACACGAAAACGCACTGAAACCGAACATTTTTGAAAACCCCTGCCAGGGTGAGGATTTTTAGAAGCGCCGGTTACAGTGTTGTCGTGTAGACAGTGAAACCGGGGTTTTTGCCTTGCGACGTCAGAGTGTGCGCCGTTATCCGCTGTGTTTGACGTCAGATTTGCGCTTCTGATTGGCCAACGTGGCTTTACGGTTAAGGTTTATATCGCCGCCTGCTGGCGTGGCATGCCCTTGACCGCGCTTGATAGCGTGTTTTTGCGTTTTCATGTAGACGGAGACCGAGCATGTGTGGACGGGATTTTTTTTTTAAACGCTGTAGGAAAAACTCCGGTTATAAAAATACCCGTGTCCGTGTGGACAAGGCCTAAGAAGGGAACAAATCAAGAGGGGACAGGTGGGAGAACTCAAACAATAATCAGGTAACAAGGGGGAGGGATCAGACAATGACAAGAGCACATGGCCCAAAATAACAAAACACCCATGTGCAACACAAGACAGGACAGGCATATGACAAATGATCTCCATAGCCTACGGGTGATTATCCGCTTATCATAATTTAATCTACCCACAAACTAAATTTACACTCTATTCAACAGATTTCAATGTAATACCTTTTAAACATTTGAAAAATATATTCGTGTCTCAGCCGCGAAGCTGAGCTTCAGCCTCGCTCTGTGCGAGGACATGCACAGAGCGGCTGAAATGATAGTGTCTGTCAGTTATTATAACATGACAAAAACAATTGTCTAAATTATGTTGCATATTCCTCAACAGTTCTTGTGCTGATATCACTAGTTGACATAGTACTATTTTCGGAAATTATATGCTTTATTGCGCAGGTGCACGTGATGCAACGCCGTCAGAGTGTGTAATTTCAGTACCAAATAATCAGGTCAAAAACGATTTAATATACTGCAAACATCCTATTAGTTTTTTATATTTATTTATAATTCATTTAAGTGGACAAGGCTAACAAGTAGGCTGTGCAGCCAATTATTCTAACATTCAGAGCCTGGGAGGGGCCTCGTATTTCAAGTTCGCACAGGGCCTCGCACCCCACCTGCGACGGTACTGCAAACACCATTGTAAAATTTGCCGATGATATAACAATCATTGATGCACAATGATGAGTATGCATACAGGGACGAAGTAAAGAATCTGACAGCCTGGTGCTCCAACAATAATTTCATCCTTAACCCCAAGAAGACAAAAGAGATAGTGGTGGATTTTAGAAAGACAAGGAAAATTGATCTGAGTTTTGTGTTCATAAATGGAGTGGCTGTGGAGAGACTCCCCCGTTTTAAATTCTTGTGGTTCAACATTACAGAGCATTTTATTTGGTCTACACACCTCCTCTGTCATTGGAAAAGCACAACAATGTCTTTATTTTCTGAGAAGATTAAAGAAAGCAAGATTGCCTTTTAACGATTTGCAGTGGAGGGTGTACTAACATATTGCATTACACCTTGGTATGGTTAGTTATACAAGAGAAGAACAAATGGCTCTGCAACAAGTTACCAAAATGGCACAAAATATCATCAGCGCAGTTACCATAAGTTGAGAACATTTATTTGTCCAGATGTCGGAGCAGAACCTCCAAAATTATTTGAGATCCCGCTCACCCTGCACACTACCTCCCTTCATGTAGGAGATACAGCACAATTTACTCTTGTTCCACAAGACTGAAAAAAAGCTTTTTTGCTAGAGCCATACAACTACTGAACACGTCCTGACTGGTTTCCATGTATAAATTATATTTGTAATTCCACTACTATTTTGTGTTTCCTTTTTTATTTTTGATGTTATGTATATGTTGACAATAAAGTCTTTAACTATATAAATAAAAAAAAGACAAATAAATCTGCTAGGCAAGTGTCATTTTAATCTTTTGGTTGTGCGGTTTTACAAGAAAACTGCTTGCACCCTGGATGCTGAAAAACAGCTGAAATTAGATATCAATTTAGTATTACAAAATGTAACATCAAATAAAATAATAATAATAAAAACATTTAAAGAATTTAATTGGGAAATAAGAAAGAGGAGCAACGCTTGTAAAGTGTAAAATATTGTACTTTTTTATTTACAAATGGGAAACGAGTAAACAAAATGCTATGTTAAAAAAAATGGGAATGGCAAAGATAATTTTTAGGTGATTACTAACACAATACTGTTAAACCAAATGCAATGTTGTTGAGGGGTTTTAAAGACGTTCTGATGAGCACTGTACAAACCAACAAGGGGAAAAAAATGGTACTTTGGAGTGTTCCATTGATCCAAATTCAAACAGTTCCACATATATTTATGATAGGTTAAATAAAATACATTAAAACTGTGTGAAGATAGGGACCAGTTGTTGTGGTAACCACTGAGGGCAAATGGAACCTGATTACATTTTAATGAGGCTGTGTTTTACATTTTACACTCTACATTTTAAAGACAGCTGCTCTGCTTATTCGCTGCCCAGTCAGTCAATGACCTAACATTTCTGCGTAAAGGGAAAGAAAGTTTCAGGCAGGCTTCCAAGGCACCATAATGTCATGTTTAATTATCAAGAACAAATTCAATAACTTAACTTAACGATTAAGCAGTTCATAGTCGTCTCTAGGCTTGCTGCGGTAGTCAGTGTTACCGGTGTTAAATGGTCTTTGGCTGTATGCCGATTACATTACTTGGCCACCATGGCACCGCCCACACTGTTGTTTTGCTTTTTTAAAGAAATAAAAACCATTTAGTTCAGTTGGACAACGGACGCTATACAATTATACTAAACATTATAGTGAACAATTATCTGAAAGAGTGTGCTCCATTCAGCACGAGCTGCAAAGTTGCAGCAGGAGTCAGATTTCACTGACGAGAGTAAGGAGAGATGACTGACAAGACGATGGCGGAGGATTTGGTGCAAAACACATCCTAGGCATCATTGACAAATATGGTATCTTGTAAAATGTGAGGTCATATTCCAATTTTGCACATAAGTTAAATTCGCAGCTAGTGACAAGCTGTTGTACCCCTAAAGGTAAAATTGTTGCATGTTTTTTTGACAGTGCTATAAACAAGTTTAGCTAAACTTTAACTCTGACTTCCTCTGCAAGATTCACTTCTGCAGCAATGCATGGGATCAAGCTTCCGTAACTACAGTGTCATGTATGTGTAAAGTATGATTGGACCTCTAGTAGAGAGAATGCTACACAAATATTGGATTTCGAACATGCCTTGGTGACTTTCTACCTGAATCTATCTGAATACTGTACGCGAATGTAGCATTTTTCAGGCTTTGGACACAGCCTAAGTATGGGGTAACGGACTTTTAAACCTGAATAACCCTTTCTCTTCCACCATGGAAAAAACATCCATACTTGAATACCCAAAAATACTTGGTAGTGAGGAAACTTAACATATGCTAATATACATTATGGCAGTCTTAAACATTTGGTAGAAAACACAAAACTGTAATGTGCATTAAGTGTAAAATATTCTTTTTAGATTAACATCTAATAATTTGGAGAGGATACAATTCTCAAGAGATTAACAAAATGTTAAATCAATTTAGTATCTTAATAATTATTGTACAAAATATTAAATAAAATGTAAGGAATCAATTTCCCTTGCAGTTTGAGATTTTAAAACCACTAGAATAACAAAGACACTCGGATTTATTCCTCCATCTGGAACATGATTTCATCAGCAGAGGAGAGGACGAATAAAGCACATACATTCTCAAATCTCAAATATAACACGCAGACATAGAGATTCGTTCTATGCATTGGCACCCAGCCAAACCCTTCATAGTTGTCTGCTTTATCCTTCACAAAGAACGGGTTCCTCAACGCGACCATAATTGCTATTTTGCAAAGCAAAACAAAAAGACGAGCGGGCATAACAAAAAACATGAATGGAAACAAACCAACAAAAAAAAACCATAAACAAGCATCTTGTATTTACACTGAATACAGGCATCATTTCATTATAATGGTTATGGCCACAACCCTCAACAAAAACATTTCCACATCCTCCCCCTCCCAACTTTACCCACAATTCCCTCTGTTTACCTCCCCAGCTTGCTCTTGTATACACCCCTCAAGTTGAAAGTCTGTGCAAATTGTTCAGTCTTCAGTCGACTAGGGCATGAGGCCATAGGGGAGTAACAGGAGCTTAGGTGAACACATGAAGCTGTACAGGCCTCCAGTCAGGAGGGAGTAGAGGGGACTAGAAATGGCCCGGGGAGGAGAAGATCAGGGTGAGTCCAGGAGGCTGGGTTTAGAGGTTGTCTCCGGGCTGATATTGAGGTTCGGTCGCCGTGAAGTAATCTTCGAGGAAGGCCTGCAGGTACTCAAAAGTGGGCCGCTCTTCTGCGTCTTTCTTCCAGCACTGAACCATCAGCTCGTGTAGAGAACTTGGACAGTCCTGGGGACTCGGCATCCGGTAGCCACGCTCCACTTGTTCTAGTACCTCCCTGTTGTTCATCCCTATCAAAAACAACAGAAAACTCAATAAGAGAAATAAGAGTAAATTTCAGCAGAACAATGCTTTTACGGGTGCCAACCAAGGGCGTAGATGGGCCTAACGGGTATAGGCTCGCCCACTATGAACAGGCCCCCCCGTTTTTGTTCAAATATTATATTTATTAAAGTATTGTTGTTTCATTGATTTTGATAAAACTACAAACATTATTATAACATCTCAAATCCTAAAATATTGTATAATGATTGTATAATGCTTGATGAGTTTGATTGACATCTGTGTTAGGCAATTACCCAGCTAACAGAATTTTGTTATGAGAACGTTCTCCAAATATTCAGTGTTGGTTCTGGGAACGTGAAAAATGTCCAGTTTTCTTGACGTTAGAGGAATGTGTTTTAAAAGGTATAATGTTCCTCAAACGTTCTTTAAACGTAATTTTCGATTAAAAATTCAACATGATAGTAATGTTGATTTCTAACATTCCAAGAACATAAAAATGTCCAGTTTCCTGAATGTTACTACATAGCAAAAACTCAAGAGTGTTAAAGACTCAAGAGTGTTAAAGTGTTAAAATTTGAGTGTTAAAATAACACTGAAGATTGTTAAAATTAATGTGCTATATAAGTTATTGATTGAGTGATGATTGAGCATTATTGAAGACACCTGATGATAACAAGTAAGTAGAATCGCTGAAGAAGAAAACTCAAATTTTTGTCACCATTGTGGAGATCAGTGTTTGGTTTAGTTGGGCAGTTGACCTTTACATGTTTAACTTTAGATTTTGTTTGGTTGCTGTACATGAGTTATGACAGCCAGATGAACAAAGAGAAAAGGTGATCTGATGGTGTTGGTTATGTTATAACATAATCATTATTTCACTATCATATGACCTGAATCACTGAACTCAAGTAGTCCTAATCTCTGATTAGAATGTATATTGGTCATTACAGATTCAACTGTATAAATTCCAGATTGTTCAATATAATCTAAATGATTTCTTAAAAGTTGTTCTGATAAAAAAAAAACTCTCTTTCAGGCACACACAGACATATAGAATCAGTGTATGAATCTCAACAATGGTGACAAAAAGAATATTTCTAAGACAATTCAGATCATAATTTATTCATACCGCAATGTATGATGGGAGCTATGAATGAGTTTTGATTGGTGGCACCCAGAATGCACTGCAACGTGCTTTATTATTGCCACCATTGTTGAGAATCACAGGCTGATTATTGATATCTGTGTGTCCAAACAAATGTCCATTTTCAACGACTTTTGATCAGAACAACTTTTAAGAAATCTTTTGGATTACACTTACAAATCTGGATTTTTTGCTGTTAAATCACTTTGATACGATAATGACCAATATACATCTATGTCAGAGATTAGGACTAAATGAGTTCAGTGATTTAGGTCATACGATTGTGAAATAATGATTGTTAAAACACAACCAACACCATGAGATCACATTTTCTCTTTGTTCATCTGGCTGTCATAACTCATGTACAGCAGCCAAACAAAATCTAAAGTTAAACATGTAAAGGTCAACTGCCCAACTAAACCAAACACTGATCTCCATAATGGTGACTAAAATAGATTTTTCTTCTTCAGTGATTCTGCTTGTTATCATCAGGTGTCTTCAATAATGCTCAATCATCACTCAATCAATAACTTAAATAGCACATTAACTTTAACACTCTTCAGTGTTAATTTAACACTGAAATTTTAACACTTTAACACTCTTGAGTCTTTAACACTCTTGAGTTTTTGCTGTGTAGTAACATTCAGGAATCTGGACATTTTTATATTCTTGGAATGTTAGAAATCAACATTACTATCATGTTGAATTTTTCATCGAAAATTACGTTTAAAGAACGTTTGAGGAACATTATACCTTTTAAAACACGTTCCTCTAACGTCAAGAAAACTGGACATTTTTCACGTTCCCAGAACCAACACTGAATATTTAGAGAACGTTCTTATAACAAAATTCGGTTAGCTGGGTAGGTGTTATCCAGGCTGTCTCAGGCATTTCACGCCTGTAAGATGTGTGTTCTCCCATTCAGTAATAATTTACAGTTGTGTTAGAATTTTGCTTAAACTTAGCTGCTGTTTTTCTGTTCAAAAAACTTTTTTTAAAAACTTTTAAAAAAGTACTATTGAATACGGTTTTACGGTTGACAAGCCGTCCATCAGCCCACAGGTAGCGGCAACACTTTTTAAATTTCAAGCCCAGGAGTCTCTGGCTTATTCTGTAATATCCAAGGAGTTTTGTTTTGAAAATCAGATCTTTTTTGAGTCATTTTGTATTTGGACGGGTCGTAGAAATGATAGGTGCTGTTGTTTGTCGATGGTGTATGACTTAATTGACAATTGATAAAAGCTATGTGTTAAGTATTCATATTTGAACAGATGCGAGAGATTTTTTCTACACAGCTTTGTTCTTACTTCATAGTCTGAGTATTGTACCTAGGATGTCTTATTTGCCCACACTAAACAAAATGGGGAGGTATAGAATTTCTGAAAAACAAGACAGAAATTGAAGAATGATTTTTTCTTGCAGTGTATACTCATGATAGATGCCATTTTATGAGAGATGTGGATACAGACATATCTCTCCCAAACTCACACCATTGATCGAGTCATATGGTGAGCTAGCTGAAATTCTGAAGTAAATAGAGAATGACTTTTATCTGTATGTGCTGATGTTTGAAGGCTGGTACACACAACTAGCCGGAGATGTTACGGGCCTGTGCCTTGAGTGTGTTTCTTCTCCTGCATGACGTCATGACTATATTCTCTGTCTGAGCTTGATTGTTTGCACCTGCGTCTCGTTGCATGAGTTGCTGATTAACTAGGCTATATTAAGGACATTCACCAGAAAGCAAGCTTTATTCTACCATTTTGAATGTGAATCATACTGATCAGTTTGTCTTCACTTATATTAATTACATACGGCCATGTCGTTATGAAAATATTAGTGTATTGGATTGCTCAGAAAAGATGTATGTTGGTCTTGTCTTCGTTGTTTGCTTGGTCACTTTCGTTTTTCTTCTTGTGCACTAGTTTACAAAGCTGAGTTTTTTGACACCAGGAAAGTTTTTTGAAAGATGTACTTTCACAGGTACAAAAAAGTACAGTACATTGGACCGATTGTGCATATTTCCATCACAGTTTTGTAGCATTCGTGGAAAATCAGGCCGTCTACATTGACAAAGGTCCATTGCACATAGTTGTGTTAGGGATTTAGAACAAACCACTTTTCAATTTTTGTTTTGTTTTGTGGATGATAAAATAGGCCAGAAAACAACCACCTAGAACAATCACCTAAAGGCGGGCGTACACGGTGCGAGTTCGGACACTCGGGAGGTCGTGAGATATTGCACACGTTACGAGTCAGTTAACTTGATAATCACGTCAAAGCAGCTGGTACACGGCACGACTGTCCTGCACGAATTTTATCCCGAGCCGGTGGCAATCATGTGAGCTTTTGCGCTTAACACAATGACAGAAATGTGTGTGCAAATGATTTGTTGAAAAGCAGAGAACATAGCCATTCCTTTCAACTTAAACAACATAAATAGAGAGAGAGAGGTGTGTGTGTGTGTGTGTGTGTGTGTGCGTGTGTGTGTGCGCATGCTGTATGATTGCTGCCACTGAGCTACAGTCCCATGACGTGGTTGTGTATGATTTGGCAATAGGGGACAGGCTACGCTGGTGAAAATCGGGCCGACTGCCCGAATTTTTTAAACATGTTTAAAAATTATCGGGAGTTCGGGAGGTGCTCGTAGCGTGCTCGGCTCGTAATTGCACGAGCGTGCACACACTGCGAGCCGCGACCATAACTGATTCCCACGCGATCATCTGCGAGCTCGTAAAGCAGAAAAAATAAAAAATAAAAATCGCACCGTGTACACCCCCCTTAAGTAAAAAAAAAACTCAATGTAACAACTTTATAACAAAATGTTAAAATCACTCAGAACGCCTTTGCAACCATATAGCAACACCCTAGTATTGTAGTAGCAAGTTTTACACTGGCATGCACAACTACAAAAATCGAGTTATTGTCGGAATGAATTTAGTGCTAATAAAATGTAATCACTTTTGAACCAAAATGACTAATAAAGAGATCCTCAAACTCATGCTGCAAAGGGAATTTTGCAACAACGACTGGGGAGATAAAAACAGACTAAAACTATCAATCAAACCAAAAAATGCAATATCAGATCCCCATTTTTGAAGATATGAGGGCAGGACAATAAGACCTGCTTCTCATGATTAGTGATCCTGGAACAGAACTGCACGTATGAAGCCAGAAGATTCATCATCACCATGAGGGACATGACCAGATTTCAACAACTGAGAGAGAAACGCCTGCAAACATCTGTGGATGACGCAATACTGTGTCGACTCAATGGCATTTCACACCTCCCCCTTTCATTTCTCCCCTACATTCCAGCTAAGATCAAGGTTTTGTTTTTTGTTTTTAGAATTTGTGCAGATATAATTCAACCATGGATCCCCGTCTTCAGCATATTTTAAGAGCCTGAGTGTGATTAAAAGGGTGGTTAATAAATTTTACACAGATACTGATAAATGATTCATCTATTTGATCTAATTACGGAGCCACTGCATGTCAACATGACTAGTTCTGAAAAACGTAAAGGTGTGGAAAGAGCCCGTTTGAAATAAAATGAAAAAATAAAATCTGAGACTGGACATGCCTCTCATAAATTAGTCTACAGATATGTATATCAGCAGATACGCATCAAGGTATGTGGCAGCAAATATCTTTAAACACCTTTAAATGTTAAACATGTCTTTTGGTTTACAGAAGCAATAAAATATCATAAGCTGAGTCTTCAAAAGACACCTATTTTGGATGTAGGTTATAATTTTTTTTAGTTTGATGTATTTTAAATAGGGCTGTCAGTTAAACGCGTTATTAACGGCGTTAACGCAAACCCATTAATTTTTTATCGCGAGATTAACGGTCTTTTTGGCCTAGCAAACTTTGTAGGTTTTTTTTCACATGCTTTTGCAACAGAAAAAAGAAATCAAGAGACATTTAGAATAGATAAAATTGTGCGATTAATTGAGATTAATCGCGAGTTAACTATGACATTAATGCGATTAATCGCGATTAAATATTTTAATCGTTTGACAGCACTAATTTTAAACTTTTAAAGGGTCACATTAGTAATTTCACAATACATCTAGTGATCACTCAAAGCAACTGTTTTAAGATTTACCTGGATATGGAACTCTGCCTTTAGTGACCAGCTCCGTAAGCAGGATTCCAAAAGACCAAACATCGGATTTAATAGTGAACTTCCCATACAGAGCTGCCTCAGGAGCCGTCCACTTAATAGGGAATTTAGCCCCTGAAATACAGACATGGGAGAAAGAAGATTCATTAAAATGAAAGTGCACTGGAATTTCTAAAATACATTGTCTCAAAGACAGCCACCATTAAAGACTTTTAAAAATAAAATTGAATTTTGATGTCATGATTCAATGTCATTTTTTCCCCCCACCTAATATTGGACAGGAAAGTAGGGTTTAGAGAAAGCAAATAACCAGAGACAAGAGAGAGGAAGAGGACCTGGAAAGGACTTCGAGCCACCCAATATGTGCTATTGCTCTGGATTCAAATTTATTTCTTAAAGTCCCCCTGTGTTGAAAATCAAGCTTTAATTGTGTTGTTTATGTGGTGTTTTTAATATGCCTTAAGTCAAACCATGTTCAAATTCAAACCATGTTCAAATGAGTGAGTGGAGGCGGGGCTCGTTTGTTACATTCAAGCTATTTTAAGGCATGACGTTTTTTTTTTTTTCAAGGAAAAACTTTTAAATATGTAATTTTGGTGATCAAAGAAGAGTTTTAAGGGGTAAAATGATTAACTATAGAGGGACTTTAATATCTCTGGTAGTATTGTGCACAATTCATTAGATCTTCTGAAACAACTTTTCTTTTCTGCTGATGTAACCAATGGTGTGTGTTGCCCAACAATATCAAAGTTCACTTCTCACGATCCAATCAAATCTCAAACTATAAAATCAAGTACCATCCTACATTAATTTCAGCTGAATATTCTGTATTAATCGTGGAGCTCCCACTGTCAGTGGCGTAGCCTGAACTTTTTTTCAGGGATGGCCAGGTAGGAACCAGTGATTTTATTGGTGTGGCTAAATAAATTAATAAATAAATATATATATAACCGGTTTTCAAATCTAGAGAAAATCACTTAACATGCATCTAACTGTGTATAGCCTGCGTGGAATGCATTAAACTGATGTGGAATGGAACACACATAAAGCCATGTAGCTACACCCTGCCCACTGTGCCTAAAAATGTTACCTTTCCATGTGAGATACGACCTCTTTTGCTCTAAAAAATTAATTAATCTGTAAATTAATTGTGAAACTGTTTGTAGCTTTCCTGTAGCTCAAACAGTAGAGCGTTGGCGCTTGCAACGCTAAAGGTCATAGGTTTGATTAACAGGGAAAGCAAGAACTGATAAAAATGTAAATGTGTACCTTGGAATGCAATGCAAGTCGCTTTGGATAAAAGCGTCTGCCAAATGCATAAATGTAAATGTAAATGTTTGTTTTGAGAAGTGGCTGATTCTGGCACCAACAATATTGGGAGTTGGGTGGCAGGATTTCTGTGCACGACGAACGCTTCATGTTCACGTCAGCTTCACAGGTCTTCCTGCCGCTTGCCCTTCTTACAGAAAATAAATTGTGACCTTTCAGGTAACTTTTTTTCCGAGCAGTTCCTTGCTCTGCCGCAACCTCTTTGGCTGCTATCTCTCTGCACCTCAGGAATGGGATAAGCGGTCTGCCAATGAGAAAAGTCTCTGCTAGTTTATCTGCTAGAGGCCAAAACTGTGGGAGGGAAGTTATTCAAATCACAGCTTAACACTTCTGAGGAGACAGCATCCCAAAGACTGGAGTTGAGAAACACTGAACAAACATATTGAATTACAAATAATATCTTCTTAAAAAATCTACTTTTGTGTTCTGTGGAAAAAGTTGGGTTTGGAATAATATGAGGGGAAATTACAATTAAACATTTTTGGGTCGACTATTTCTTTAAAGGGTTAGTTCACCCAAAAATGTCAATTCTGTCAATAATTACTCACCCTCATGTTGTTCCAACCCCGTAAGACTTTCGTTCATCTTCCGAACACAAATTAAGATATTTTTTATTAAATCTGAGAGCTGGCTCCCTTCTCCATAGGCTTCTTAAGGGATTGAAACTTGCCGGCCCAGAAAGTTATTAAAGACATTGTTAAAATAGTCCGAGTGACTACAGTGGCTCAACCTTAAGTTTATCAAGCGACGAGAATACTTTTTGTGTGCAACAACCCCCAAAAATAACGACTTTATTCAACTATTCAGCTGTTACACTACGTGAACTCGCGTCAGAGGCCACACAGAAGAAAATGAATAGTTGAATAAAGTTGTTATTTTTGTTTGTTTTTTGCACACAAAAAGGATTCTCGTCGCTTGATAAACTTATGGTTGAGCCACTGTAGTCACTTGGACTATTTTAACAATGTCTTTAATAACTTTCTGGGCCGGCAAGTTTCAATTACAGAGAAGCCTATAGGAGTGAGACAGCTCTCAGATTTAATCAAACATATCTTAATTTGTGTTCGGAAGATGACCGAAAGTCTTACGGGGTTGGAACAACATGAGGGAGAGTAATTACTGAGAGAATTATCATTTTTGGGTGAACTAACCCTTTAAATAGTAGTTTCCCATGCTTCGGGATCAGCATCCAAAACAATATGTATATGTATGTTTCTAGATGGTCTGTAAACACCATAAAAATATGATCAATAAGTCTTTAAAAATGATTTTACATTACTTTAACCAAAGTCCTTTTAGGCAAGTCATGCCACTCGGCCGCCATCTTGGCAACGCCTCCGGGCAGCTATTTCGGACTAACAAGACCAGGCTCCTATCTAAATGAATGGGCAGAGACTCAGAACTGCACTTTCACTGGTCACCGGGACATAAAAACTGCATGTATACAAACACTAATAAAATATGATAAAAATCGCTGAAAAAGTGTGATGACTTTGCCCCAAAATAAGGTTTAAAACGCCTTTTTCCCCACAGGTTATACTTTTACTGCGCATGCGCAAGGGTTCTCTCGCTCTCTGTCGTGCGCGCGCTACTGCTCGCTCGCTCTAGATTCCGGGAGATTTGAACTAATTTGCGGTCATCAGGGAGCTGCTATCAATCTGCGGGAGACTCCCGGAACTTCCGGGAGACTTGGGATGTCTGATATTTACACAACTAACACATCAAATCTGCCGCCTTTTCAAACAGTAACATATTTTCCGCTGTCGCAAACCTCAACTGTGCGCATGCGTCGGTGGAACCAGTTGATAGGCTTAAATGTTTTCCGGCTTGACTGTTAAAAGCAGACGATTGGCTTTCCAGCGGGAGGGGCGGGGCATGTGCATACAACCGCCATCTTTGGCGTTACGGGTTTTCCCTAAATAGTTGTATTAAGGATTGGGGAAGTGGCATGTCTCTATATAAACAGCCAATTTGATTATACTTAAAGAGGCAGCAACTGAATTTAAGTTAAGTTTTTAAGTTGAAATATGTGATTTTTTTTTTTTTTTTACAGTGGATGAATGTGCTTACCTTGTCGGGCAGTGTACTCATTGTCTTCAATGAGTCTGGCCAGGCCAAAGTCAGCGATTTTACACACAAGGTTATCGCCGACCAGAATGTTAGCGGAGCGCAGATCTCTGTGAATGTAGTTCATCCGCTCGATGTAGGCCATGCCTCCAGCCACCTGAATATATACAAACACCGGCATTGAAATATGGTGAGCAAAGTCAAATCCTTGTGGAATAAGTGCTGAGGTTACTATAGGCAAAACTAAGAAAGACAGCCTTCTGAGTATTACAGTGCTGATACAGTAGATGCATAGAAATGATATAACTTCATGAACACAACAGGGGCCAGAAAAGACTCTTTTCAGATCGAGCGGCCCAAAGCAGTTATTTTCATCCTGCTGTACTTGTTACATCATTGATCTACAGTGGCCTCAGTATTTTAAGCAGTAGTATACCTATTCTTGCATCATTAAAGTACAGTAAAATATATCTGTGAATGGTTTGTGTTATCGTTCTTTGAAATACATGGTGGCTTGCTGTTCTCTTATCCAATGCAATGAAATTCAGTAGGGAAACACCAGAAGATATGTTGAAAGATACAGAACAACTTACTGAAATGAATCATGTCTCATGTTATCACTCAATCAGTGTTTCAACCAGGGAAAGACGTCAATAATTCAGCTTGCAGTCTATACAATTTCCTTTAACATTACATTTACCTCAAGAAAGCTATTCAATGTCCATAAACTCATTAGTTAGGTAGAAAAAATTACTCTAGAGAAGAGCATTTTGCTAAATATATGCAGTGAATTACATAATACTAACAGTTTAAGTAAAAATAGAATGCATGTCTTCATTATTTAATGTATATTTGAATAAATCTGTCATGAAAACAAGTTATCACAGTACATTGTTGTTTAAATGTTTATATTTCACCAACAAACTGGTGTAGAAACAAATCTGTTATTAAAAAGTTGATGTACAAACATTTAAATTGCAAATTTTATAACTTTATAATAAGAATTTTCATTACATTCAGTTATTTTTAAGTGTGTCCAAATACTTTCTGGACCACTGTAGATGAGGTTTCATTTGTATTTAACCCGGAACATTCCTAAAGAAGGGCTATTTACACTCAGAGTGATGATGTAGTACCTGGGCCGCCATATCGACGAGGTTCGGCAGTTTCAGCCCCCGTCCCTCCCCGTCCTTAAGGAAATCTAGGAGGCTTCCTAAAACATGCAACGTGCACATGTTAGCTTCACGGATAGAAGAGACATTTCTGCTACAAGATCATGTGTACGCATGCCTGCATAATCACAGATAAACTGTACTTAACATCATATTCCCTTGTTGTTCTGATATAAAAGTGTCTGATGTGCTGTTAACAAATAAAGCTCCTTCCCCAGTCCACCCAGACCCTTTATTAAAACTAAATCACAAAAAGACTTGTTCAGAACTCTACATAGTATTGATGTCACAACCATGAGCACATTAACAGATAACCATCAGCATTAACTTTACATATCAACACCTCTTAGTAAAGAGCGACTTGGCTGTCCTGATGAATGACAATAACAGTATACAGAGATTAGCCGATAATAACAGAGTCCATTTTGTAGAACTAAAAAAACAGTCTGTTTAAACTAATTTAAATGCATGAATTTTTTTTTCTTCCAAGAAAGACGGTGGATTTTGGTCTTGACTAAATTATGTTTTTAATGCTTAATAACATGTGGAGTTCAGGATTTTTCCATCCACTGTCCATTAGGTTTTTCTTCAGTGTTAGGTTAAACGTCTGTTTCCTCCATTACAGGTCTTCAAATTAAATATAGGCCACTATAATTTCTTTTTCTTTCTGTCCAAGCGTTTTGAGGCCTCACGTGACAATTTCTGAGGTTAGAACATCAACCTTCAATCCTGATTTATCTTTAATTGGATTTTTTTTTTTTTTATCAGTGTTGCTAAAATAGATACATTCTATGCCTGTCCTCTGGTTAAGCCATTCTCTTCACTTTTACGATGAGAACAACTGCTGACCTTTGCCCATGTACTCAGTGACAATGTAGATGGGCTCCTCAGAAACCACAGCATAGAGCTGCACTAGTTTATCGTGTCGTAATTTCTTCATGATCTGCGCTTCCTCCAGGAAGGACTCTGGAGACATGGTCCCAGGCTTGAGGGTCTTCACAGCCACTTTAGTGTTGCCATTCCATGTGCCTGACAGCAAAAAACACACAGTTGTCAGTCAGTACAACAGCACAAAGCCCCTAGCCGAACAGCATGCCACAAAATGACTTCCATGCACCCAGGAAATATTGAAACCCCTCTTGTTCATGCAAAATCATTTTGCAATTAAAACAGCCATTATCCCACAAGTACACTCATGGGAGAATCCACTTAAAATCTATGTATAGCATTGTCCATTTGTAGTCACTTTCAGTTGAGAGGAATTCATGTTAAATGAGGAATTGACTGCATGGTCTATTTTTAGCAGGTATAACATTCCATCATTTGATGAACACTGCAAAAAAACTTTTTCGTAATAACTTTTTTTTTTGTCTCATTTTCCAGTAAAAATATCTAAGCATCTTTAAAATGAGAAAAAATGTTATTTAAAAAAAAAAATACTTGAGAAGCAAAATAGTGTAAGATAATAAGATTTCTTCTCAGAGAATATATTGTATATTGAATTTGCCTCATTGTTCTATCCTACTTGGTAAATTATTTTATATAAAAAAAAAATCATAAGCATATGTATAGATACCATTATAGACCATTTTAAAATAGTATAAATAAAATAATTTTGTTACATTTTAGATTAAATCAATAAATGTATTTGAAGATATATTCCGTGAAAACGTCTTAATATACTGCTTATGCAATCTAAAGTATATTATTTTTAGGATGCTTAGATGTGTTGACTTTATAACAGTGATTGAGAAAATGATCAGAACTACTGCTGGTCAATAGAAAATAGATTACAGATTACACTGTACTTGTGATATGTGGCTGTTTTTCTGCAGGACACAGTGAGGAATTTCAACAGACAGAAAACAACACTAGCCGCTTTTCCACCGTCGGGCCAAACCGTTCTCTTTGCTGAACCGTTCCATTCCGTGGCGATCCGGTCCAGATATGGTTCCATTTTCCACTGTGGATCTGTGGATTCTGATTGGCTGTCTATGTTTGTATCGTTCATCAGCTGGATAAAATCGTTCTGAAAGTGATTCCAACGATATTGTTTCTCTGTACCGTTATCATTATAGCTGTGGTGTGAACTCTACAATTCTTTAATATTAAAAACGATTTTTAGAACTATATCTTTATAGTTATAGTCATTAGTGTGAACGGGCCTTTAGCCAGCTACAGAGCAACTAGTAGCCAGGCTACAGACAAGTGACCGATCCTGAGCGGCGACATCCTTACACACATTCTACCAGCACAGTTCAGTACGGTTAGACAACCGTGCCGAGAACGGTTTGTAATCGTGCCGTGCAGTACCAGGCTCAAGTGGAAATACAGCTGGAACCGTTCCTTACCGTTCTTGGAACCGACGGTGGAAAAGTGGCAATTATTAATTTTACAACACTGGAATCTGCTTGCCTTTAAATGACACTGCAATGGTGGATATTCTATTTCAAATGTCAAGTTTTTAACTAGATATTAAAGTTACAGTTACGCCTTCCCTATCCCAACTGGCCCAGCACAACTTCACATTACAGAAGATAATGTTCCAAACGTCATCTCGTGTTTACTTGCAGGCGATGTCAAGGTGGTACTAAAATGGTTACATCAGATGCGGTGCTTGGTTTTTAAATCCACTGATCTACACACACATTGATCTGTGTGACTCTGCTCATTAAAAACTAAATACCAGCAGTGTCCTAAAGGCAATAATTATAAAAGGCAGATTCAGGAGATATTTTGGGATGCACATCTACAGGGAAAGGGAAAGTAAGAGGGTGAACAAGATCGCTTGTGATTAATAAACACCCATGATTCAACTTAATATTTACGGTTCTTATTCTTACCTCCATTCAATGACGTGATAACCACATGTAGAAGAATCACTGAAGCTCTTACAATAATTATAAAAAATAAAACGTGCGCGCACAAATTAGCTACAGTTTGTCTCTCACATAAAATTTGTTCTCGTGAATTATTTAAGTTACTTTTTTTGCAACATTTACATCTATGATGAGTTCACATGTTCATCTAATCCTTGAGCATGGTATGGGTAAACAGAAATGGCTTGCTATCCGTAATGAAGAGGTACGGAGCCCCAAAAGGGACATAGTCATGAAAAAAATATGAGATGGGAGGAACAAATTTATTTTAATGCTTTTGCTTTTGAGGAACTTTGCGTTCGCTCACAAAAAACGCAAAAGTTTTGAGAGCGAACGCAAAGTTTCTCAGGGGAACGTGTGAGAGAATGAGGAATTAAGTTAGCAACCAATATGACTGGATTAGATGAAAATGCTTCTCCCAAACCTAAGTTTGCGTGGAGGTCAGTGAATGTGGGAGAGGAGGCGACTGTCTTACCACACCAAACATCAGCGAAACACCCGGCCCCCAGCTTCATGTCCAGCGTCAGAGACTCGCGGACGATTTCCCAGGAATCATGGCTAAGTCCCACCGTATCAGGGGTGTAGTCAACGCACACGCCCGTTAAATTAAAGCACAAACCATCTGCACTCTCTATAGAGGGGAGGAGTAGAGGGGTTAACTAGCAGGACGGCGGAGGACATGCACTGAGAGAGAAGGAGTGTGGCTGTGATGTTCTGAGAGGGTCGCTCACTTCATGTCTGAATATTTCAGAGATGGATGTAATAGATCCAATCTTTTCTGTATTCGCTTTGATTTTAGGTTAAACATAACTTAACTTTAACGAAAACATTAGTGCTCTGATGTTGGCACTTACTGAACTTATTGTTTTAAAAGTGCAGTCCCAAGACTTGAGACTAAGGTGATCAAATCCTGCCCTTCAAATGTACTGTTACGGCATAACACCAATAACCTGGTAACTTTTATAAAGAACGATAACTGAAAGAGTGGTCACATGACTATCTATAACCAGTAGTTTTAGATCCACCTAGACAAGTAGTTTCAGCTCAAAAAGTATGATCTGGACAACTTTATAACTCCAATTATAATTTGAGGTTTTACTGGATGATTTAAGTGTTAAATTCATCATGAAAGGAAAATTATGATTGCCTAAACTTCTCTTTTGTGATGTACTGTATAGTGAAATAGGCGGGATTTTCAGATGTCATTGTAAGGGGTCTTTTGATTAAAGATTACGAGGGCACATGATTTTTTTATTTATTTATTTTTTATAATGATGTGCTTGGATAAAACATTTAAATAAATACTGCAATATTTCATTAAAAAAGTTTCAAACTTTGCCTTTTAAACATTCCAGAACACTGGCCCAGTTTACTTCCACTGTAAGTGTGTTTTTTCGGCACTAATGCTTTCGTTAGAGCTGGACACGTATTAAACCTGGAAGATCCGTGAATATATTAGCTCACACATTCAGACATTTGTAAAGTGACTCCGCACTCACTTCGACCTCACTCCATCTCCCTCTCTGGCCGGTTGTTGTTAAGCACAGTGGGAGGGCCATACCCATCCAAACCTCCCCGAACTGGCCGTTGCCCAAGCGCTTTATGAGCTGCAGTGACTCCCGAGGAATCTCCCACACATCTTTGGTTTTGACAGACAGGTCAGTGAGCCTTGGCATCCCTTTGTGGCAAGGGACGACCAAGCGACAGCAAAGCCCTGCTGCCCGCTCTGAGCACGCACACAAACACAGAGAAATATACACAATGTCAGAGAGAGAGAGAGAGAGAAGAAAAGCATCAGAAGCACGGAAGGAAGCAGTACAGAGTTTCAGCATGACACCTGCAGATATAGGGTGCAATATGTGTAGCTTGTGAGCCATGTTGCATGTTTTCTTTTCAGTGGCCTTGTGCAACACTAAATGTTAGTGAACTCTCTTAAAGTCCCCCTGTAGTCAATAACTTTATCCCTTAAAACTTATCTTTGATCACCAAAATTACATATTTTAACGTTTTTTTTCCTTAGAATAGCTTGAATGTAACTACACCCTTGCCTCATTTGATATACGCGGTTCTACGAATATGCAAATGAGCCCCGCCTCCACTCACTCACACAGCAGCTCAGAGATTTTTGAGACTGTCTTTGGTTCACTGCAGTTTTAAAGGGGTGATGAACTGAGAAATCTAATTTTACTTGAGCTTTTGACATCTAAGAGGTCATCATATTATAAGACTATGCTGTAAGTTTCAGAACTGAAAACGTCCTTGTTAGTCCAATAAAAGCTTTTATTGACACCAGGCTCAGCAAACGACTCGTTTTTCAAAGTGGGGAACTATGACGACAAAGAGGATAAAACACCACCCCTGCAGAAGATCAACACCTACTTCAACACGCCCGGTTTAGCCCCGCCCACCGATTCGCGCATTACACGTTAAACTCATTATAATATGCAAAACTGTTATCCACTCACAGCAGTGGGCGTTTACTTCCAAGTCTTCAATGCGAGACGCCCATAAAAACCGAGCGTTTTTGAGCTAGGCTCAAAACTAGGGTAGAAGATAGCCTACTTATTAATTTTGATGGTTTTGAATGTAAAAACCAAGCGAACGTCATAAATTGACCTCAGACAACAATATAAAAAAATTTAAAAAGCCAGTTCATGACCACTTTAAGGAGAAAATACTCAGCAATGGTGTTGACATGAATTTGCACATGGTTTGTCTTAAAGCATATTAAAAACACCACATAGAAATATAAAAAACATTAAAAGCTGGATTTTCACCACAGGGGGACTTTAAAGGCACAAAAAAACTCTTTCCTGTGCAACAAAGACTTAAGGACTTTTTTTCCTACATGATCTTAAAAAAAAAAAAAAACTACAACAATAACTAATAACTAAAACCTGGTAACTGATTGGAAAAAAAAAAACAGTGATGTTATCAATCAAACATTCAGTCTGAACTGTTATAGCACTTTTTGAGATGTTTTCCCCTCATTGATTGGCAATAGTGTTGGGCATGCCAGTTGGACTTGTTTTGACATTTAACAAATGGTTAATGTGTGTTCATTTTCCAACAACGCTACAGCAATGTTTACTCCGGACTGTAAAGCTGAGATAACAGAACACTTGGCACCAATAGACGCATCATTTCAGGAATCGGTCACCGAGTACAGTACCATCTGCTCTGAGCTCGAGGAACCCGAGCGTGTATCCGGCCATCAACACAACATGATCCTCTCACACGTGGCAATAAAAGTGTGATGATGACATCGGGTTCATACTTTTTTCTGGTGCGGACTTGAGTTTGACGTCAAAGTTGTTTTGGCAAGCACTTTGATTAAAAGTTTTGCAACATGACCTCACACAAGTATATTTTAAGTTCTGGTGTACATGTGTAATTCAATATGGGTCAAAATTGGTATTAAAGTAATCATACACTCACCGGCCACTTTATTAGGTACCCCATGCTAGTAACGGGTTGGACCCCCTTTTGCCTTCAGAACTGCCTCAATTCTTCGTGGCATAGATTCAACAAGGTGCTGGAAGCATTCCTCAGGGAGTTTGGTCCATATTGACATGATGGCATCACACAGTTGCCGCAGATTTGTCGGCTGCACATCCATGATGCGAATCTCCCGTTCCACCACATCCCAAAGATGCTCTATTGGGTTGAGATCTGGTGACTGTGGAGGCCATTTTAGTACAGTGAACTCATTGTCATGTTCAAGAAACCAATTTGAAATGATTAGAGCTTTGTGACATGGTGGAAGTAGCCATCAGAGGATGGGTACATGGTGGCCATAAAGGGATGGACATGGTCAGAAACAATGCTCAGGTAGGCCGTGGCATTTAAACGATGCCCAATTGGCACTAAGGGGCCTAAAGTGTGCCAGGAAAACATCCCCCACACCATTACACCACCACCACCAGCCTGCACAGTGGTAACAAGGCATGATGGTTCCATGTTCTCATTCTGTTTACGCCAAATTCTGACTCTAACATCTGAATGTCTCAACAGAAATCGAGACTCATCAGACCAGGCAACATTTTTCCAGTCTTCAACTGTTCAATTTTGGTGAGCTCTTGCAAATTGTAGCCTCTTTTTCCTATTTGTAGTGGAGATGAGTGGTACCCGGTGGAGTCTTCTGCTGTTGTAGCCCATCCGCCTCAAGGTTGTGCGTGTTGTGGCTTCACAAATGCTTTGCTGCATACCTCGGTTGTAACGAGTGGTTATTTCAGTCACTGTTGCCCTTCTATCAGCTCGAACCAGTCTGGCCATTCTCCTCTGACCTCTGGCATCAATAAGGCATTTCCGCCCACAGAACTGCCGCTGACTGGATGTTTTTTCTTTTTCGGACCATTCTCTGTAAACCCTAGAGATGGTTGTGCGTGAAAATCCCAGTAGATTAGCAGTTTCTGAAATACTCAGACCAGCCCTTCTGGCACCAACAATCATGCCACGTTCAAAGTCACTCAAATCACCTTTCTTCCCCATACTGATGCTCGGTTTGAACTGCAGGAGATTGTCTTGACCATGTCTACATGCCTAAATGCACTGAGTTGCCGCCATGTGATTGGCTGCTTAGAAATTAAGTGTTAACGAGCAGTTGGACAGGTGTACCTAATAAAGTGGCCGGTGAGTGTATAATTATCCTATTATGGTATAATGCATTTTATAAAGGTTTAGTTCACCAAAAAATGAAAATTCCTAATGTTATTGCAAAGCCAAAAGATTTTCATTCATCTTCAAAACACAAGAGAAGATATTTTAAATAGAATTTGTGTCACTCCATTGAAAGTCCAAAACTTAATTATTTGTAAAAGTAATTACTTGTGACACATGAGAACAAATCTCATTGCTCATATACATTATTAAGCAATGTGTGTTGATCAATATTTACATGGGAATAAAAGCCCTTAATTTAATCGGTTTATTATATGAAACGATTGTGTCTGTTAATAAGGCTTGGATTAAACCGTTCTATTTATATGGATCACAATATATCTATGAACTTTTTCAAGTGTTAACGTTTTGGTGTAATGGAAATTCAAAGGAGGGACAGAAATCTCTCAGATTTCATAAAATATTTTCATTTGTGTTTCAAAGGTGAACGAAAGTCTTACGGGTTTGGAACGACATGAGGATGAGCGAATGATGTCTCGAGAGACGTGATTTTGAGACATGATGCAATAATGGAAATAACAGAAATAGCCAATCAGTAGAATAGATGGCTCATATTTTTGGCTATTTCCTGGCTATGGCATTTCACCTTGATTAAAGCTCGCTGCTCAGAGAGTTGCCATGCCAACTCGCTACTGACAACAAAAGCTTGCAACACTTGCCCCGCCTCTGGGGTCTTCTGATTGGTCCACTGTTTTGGAACTGACATTGGTAATTTTTTTAACTCGACACGGCGGTTAAAAAAACCCGCAACGCTCATGTGAAAGCGCAACTGTCAAACACGTCCGTCTACAGTGTGCAGACTGTCACACATATCTGTATCTGCAATGTATTGTCCTGCATAAGATTTTAAAAAACGTATGATTAATCATTTTAATACATTTTTGTGAATAAATGCAGAATCCAGTCTTTATGTATTTCTGAATAGATTTTCACCCACTCCAAGTTGTTCCTTAGCTACAGTAGTAAGATTGTATTATTTGGTGCATCTGCATTGTAAAGTAATGTGAAACGAGACCTGGGGGACAGAGGTAGCTGGTGGAATAGCGCTAAGGTTTGGACCAAGCAATCGAAGCAAATGTCTGCTTTCAAATGCACTGGCGTACCAAGACAAACACAAGCTGCTGAAACTGAAGCCGGTCAACAATGAGAAAGTGTTAAGCTAAAGCAAACACAGCCTTAGAGTAGCATCAACAGAGCTACTGATACGCAGTTAAGCTCATCCTGATGAATGTACTATTATGAGTATCTGTGTGCATGTTTGTTCTCTGGGCTCAATATGAGAGGTCATGGAAGCAGCAAAATGCACACGCTATCTAAAATCCATACGACTCATTCTCGATGCATTAACGGTCAATATGTTAACTGGAGCATAGACAAAGTACATCCTATTGAGAGAGAGAGCAAGCGCTTCTCAGTTGAGGTTTGCAGTGCCGTCTCCTGAAGGGAACCGCAGAAGCACTGTCAGCGGCATTATGGGATAGAACCATGCCTTTGCAACTCTAACAGGCATCTAAAAATGATCCTGAGTTAAAACAATAATCACCTACAATAATTCTGCATGTGTTTCTGTGTGATGGGTCTGTGGAATGAGAAGTGTGTGTTACCTGTGTAATGCTGGACCAGCTGTTGAAGGGTCTCAAACTGAGCTCTAGTGGTGATGTAATATCCTCCACTGTCCAGTTTACGGATTTTATAATGTTTCACGTGGTCCCCCTTCACATCGTCCCAGTCCCGGATAGACAAAGAGAAGGCACCTGCCACACAGACACACAACAGAAGGATTGCTGTAGTGCAGTGTGGGAATGGGCAACGCAGTAGATGGTGAACCAGAGAACCAATTCTTTATCAGGACCGGTTCCGTTGTTTAAAGAGTACTGGAATAGAATGATGTTAGTTCTGTGAATGATTCTCACAATATGCAAATGTATTCAAATATTTAAGTAGTTTGAGCTAGTAATGAGACTGACTCGATTACATCATTAGTGTTTCATTGGAGTGACGGGGTTTTCATGCTCTACTTTTTCAGTGGCTTCTTTTAAAAGTGAATCAAACCCAACAAGTACTCAGTGTAATTATAATTAAAGAATAGTCTGTCACTAGTATTTAAAAAAAAAAAATATATATAAATCTTTGAAATATGTTACCACATTTTGTATAATACATAGTTATCACCAATTATTCGATTGCATTTGTGCCGCCTCTAAAAATAAATAGATTTAATGCTTTTATATTGAAATGATCATTGGCAATGAAAATTTAGACAAAAACTGTACACAAAACTGTTAAGAAACCAGAAATGTGTGACAAGTGATAGTTCACCCAAAAAATTAAAATTCTGAATTAATTTACTCATCCACATGTTGTTCAAACCTACATGCATTTATTTCTTTTGCAGAAAACAAAAGAAGATATTTTGAAGAATGTTTCAACTTTTTTTGGCCACACAAAGAAAATCCAAAACAACACTGGAACCCATTGACCTTTACGAGACATAAGGGTGACTGAATGATGACAGAAGTTTCCATTTTGGGTGAACTGGCTCTTTAAGAGAAATCAGAATCGTAACCAGAATGCATTTTTTTAATTCTTTATGAATCGCACCCCTAAGAGCAGTAAACTTTTGAGTAATGGTGTCCAGTAAGTGCGTGCTGTTTATTACCTTTCGTGGTTTCGCTCTCACGGATCAGGTAGGTTCCTCGCGGGTTCCCCGTTGAAAGAAGCTGCCTCTCTGCATCTTTACGCCCCAACTTTCCAAAATACCAGCTGAGAGACAGAGAAAGAGCAAATGATCAGAATGCCAAGTCTACATTGTCTTAATTCTGTTGATCAAGTCACGACTGCTTGGATCTTTGTTTATATAAAAGATTGAATGCATTCTTTCTGAACATTTTACTGTATTTATGTTATTCATAACGTCAAAACAAGAAAATGTTTATCTAGGAACATATGTAAACTCAATCAAAAAAAGAAAAAAAGGATGGCTGGGAAAAGTTTTTTAAAGCTGTACACTAAAACGGCCTTACATATGACATCAGAAAAATGCAGACAACATCTGCAAACTTGCATCACTCAAGCATCTCCCTCTGGTTAAAGTTAAGCGTGTTAGACTGAGCCAGTGTCTGACATCAGTCTGGTTTTTGAAAACATAAGGAGGAAAAAATCTGACATCATTAACACACAGTGTAACCCAAGACATCACAGGAGAAATCAACATAATTAAACATTTTGTTTAGAGCAGAAATGTACCTGCCGTCTAAAAAAAATGGTGTCTGAAAAGTAGTAACAAACTTAAAGTTGTGTTTTTTTTATTATTCTTTTATATTGTTATGATAAACGGTTTACTTGGCAATCCATTTGGAGAGAGGGGGGTTGACTACAAGGTTTTTTAGAAAAACAAAAAAGGGGGATTGAAAAGAAAACTTAATTTGTTGTCGTTTTTGGTACAATAACTCAAGATGCAGTCACATTTACTGTTGCTCAGTGGAATTTCAGAGGCAGAATCCAGCCATTCCAATAGGAAACTATAGGATAGAATACATCTAAGATGGCGATTGGTGCATTGGATTAGGATAATGTCACGAATATTTGAAATAGATGTTGGTATATTACTGACAGAGAAACACTGATGTTTTCTGGATAATTGTTTTCTAAAAATTTATCATAACCATTCATTTTGTCAATATACTTCAATATACACTAAAGTACTTGGATTTCTGATTGCCGTCTTTCAAACAACATTTAAAGTCCCCCTGTAGTCAATAATGTTATTACTTAAAACTCATCTTTGATCACCAAAATGACATATTTGACGTTTTTCCTTGAAAAAAAACAAACGTTCATGACTTAAAATAGCTTGAATGTATCTCTACACCCCTTGCCTCATTTAGTACAAGCGATTCTATGAATATGCAAAAAGATCCATTCGTTGACGATCACACGTTGATCTGATTGGTTACAAGGTAGTTTGTGACGTCAGAAACACCAGCGATTGTCTTTGGTTCACTGCAGTTTTAAGGAGAAAACACTCAGCAATGCTGTCGACTTATGAATTTGCACATGGTTTGTCTTAAAGCATATTACAAACACCACATAGACACATAAACAACATTAAAAGCTGGATTTTCACCACAGGGGGACTTTAAAATATAATTTTTTTAACTAATATTTGACTGCTCAAATGTACTTGGCACGTGGTGAATTTTAGCTAAAATGCAGTGTTGCTCATTGGTGCCCTTGGAAAGCGCCTAGTTCGCCTATGCCTAGAATCAGCCCTGCCTTTATGCTTCAGATACGGTTGAGCTTGATAAAATGGTAATACGTGGGTCCGTTTTTGGGAGGTGTCTTTGTACTTTGTCCCAAACAACAACAACATAAATGTTGCCTAGCGATAACATTCAAGCACCGCCCTGCACTACAACTGCCTCTGGATTCATTTAGAGAGGGCTGAGGTTTGTCAAGCATCTTACTGAGGGGTCTCTGGGTTAAGGTAGGAGTGAACCGAATGACATCACTGTACCCCCACCCTTAACACAGCCCGGTGTATTTAACACACACACACAAATCCAAGACTTACTCCTCAGCCTGGATTGAGTCCACCGGGGCGACGTAATTGCTGGGAATGTAGCCGGTTCCTCCTGTAGTGAGAGAGCGGGCGTCCCACCAATCACCCTCACTGACATAAAGAGACAAAGACAGAAAACACACACACTTCTTGTCATGTTTAGGCTTAAGATTTTTTTTTTTTTTTGCAGATTTGTCCATGAATCTGTCCTTCCGTATGTTCATCCATCTGTTCATCCAATACATCCATTCATCTGTCCATTCATTCATCAATCCATCTTACAACCATTTATCTGTTTGTTCATCCATCATCCAGTCTTCAGTACATCAGTCTTCTTCCATCTAACCATCCATCCATTCAGGCATTCATTCAGTCATCCGTCAATCCTCTTACTACAATGTCAAACTCAACACACACTATACTTCTACCTCTTCAAACAGAAACAGGTTGTTGTGTGAAAGACTGAAAGGCCAGATGCAGGTACCACTAATGTTTCTGTGGAGGAGAGAGAGATTGTGTGTGTTTTTCTTCAATTTTTATAATGATCCCTTCATCACAGTATTGGTCATTGCCTCACATCTGTCTCCTACAAACCTTTCAAAGCAAATTCACCACAAGTAAACAACCACATCCACAACACACACACACACACACTTTCACTTACAGAGTGGAAAACGATCTGGTAATTCTGTGAACATCCCATTTATTCGATAACATCCTACTCTCTCTTTAACATGCCCTTCGTGTAATACCCCTCTCCAATAACCAATCTCTCCCTCTCTCAAATAGCATGTGCTCTTCATACAAAACATCATTTCCAAGAACAGCCTCTCTCATCTCTCACAATCATTGTATCCACTTCCCCAGACACACACACACACACTATAGTAATAGCGTGACATTAGAAGACCTGCTGTACTAAGCAGTGCAGGTTACATTACCACCAGCAGATGGCGCTATATTATAAAACATTTTGGCAACAATGCAAAACAGGCTTACTACTACTTACTAACTTCCTTGATACCTACCTTTGAATTCAAGGAGGTCGAATTAAAACTAGACGGAATTCATATAACTGTTGTAAGTGTAGTTTCAATAAAGTATGAATGCAATATGACTAAGTGCAAAATATAAATTTCTGTGGTATAAGTACTGTTTTCCCACAATGCAATGCACTCACTGACCTTTCCTATCCAGTGTGTTGAATAGAAGTAATATTAGGCATGATTTTTAAAATCCCTGTTACAACTTATTACTTGATTGGCTGCCAAAAAGAACAATATTTATATCCTACATGACAACTGTAACATGGTTAATGCACATACATTGTGATAAGGTCACGTGACAAATATTTGAAACCGTTTCAGAGATTGTACACAACATTGTACGCGTGTAAAAATCTAGTCGACTCGTATATATATTGATAATGGAAGAAATTACACTATATGCTGTGGCTGTTGGAAAATAAGTTTCAACTTACAGTTAAAAGAGCCAATCGTCTGTGTTTATTCAATAAAGCGTATGCATATTAGCTGGACCTTTTTTTTTTTATCAACACACTCACGGCAGTTCCGCAAATTTGTGTCTAATTTCATTCATACTTTTTCGATATATGACCCCACTGACGGTTATGTTTAGGAAAGGGGTTCGGGTCTTGCATGGCTAAAAATGACTGTCTGGGGATGTTACTAAAATAGTGTGTGACCTGACTTGCCTTAAAGGGACTTTGACATGATTCAGTTTAAATCAGCAAGTAGTGAACAAGTAATCCATTCCGAACATAGCTTATGTTTCAGGTCTTTGACTTACGTGCTGTTGATGATTTGAAACTTCTCTCCTTTCCTGAAGCTGAGATCATCTTCAGTACGAGCCTCATAATCATAGAGAGCAACAAATAGAGTCACACCTGAGAGAGAGAGAGAGAGAGAGAGAGAGCACATCAGCACCATGAGGATTAAGAATAAATTAAAGCATACTTTATATCCTGGAAATGGACAACAACATAGTGCAACGTGAGCACTGGGAAAGAAAAAGCCATTTTGGTCGGCGGAGGCTTTCAGACAGATCGAATGACATTCAAGACCTGCAATTAGGGCCTTTCAGGAGCCATTTCAGGAGTCAAGACTGTTTCAGCCGATTCAAGATCACCAGTCCAGCACAGTACACACACAAACAGACCTACACACACACACACACTGATGATGTCTGGTCTAAAGGAAGCTGAAAGCCACACCTCTCCCGATGGGATATTATAAAGAAAGCTGTGTGGGATCGGGATGGGGAACATTTGTCTCGTCTGGCAATGCAAAGTCGTCTTCACTATTGTCATTTAGATTTCACTTTGACTGTGTAACTGTCTTTGCCTCAAATGATTCCCACAAGATTTGAGAAATTTGGTCATGACATGGAACCAGAGTAATGGGACACAGGCAAACCAAACCCTTCATTAGATGGAACCCAAACCTAAAATCTGTCATTAGGCACACACTCAGTAAGACAGGAATGTAAAACAATCAACCTCAACGGGCTCACATTCGACAGTTAGCAGTCTGAGGCCATAAGCCATAAGTGATGGTGAAGACCAATCTTTATACATCTTGGCAATCTCATGACCAATCAGAGGTCACACTAGATTTGAAAGGATAAGCCAAATAAAGTTTCCACTTTTTGTTTTGTTGCAATGCAATAAAACAGTGGACAGTTCTTAAAGTCCCCCTGTGGTAAAATCCAGCTTTTAATGTTGTTTATGTGTCTATGTGGTGTTTTTAATGTGCTTTAAGACAAACCATGTGCAAATTCATGTCAACAGCATTGCTGAGTGTTTTCTCCTTAAAACTGCAGTGAACCAAAGACAGTCTCAAAAACACGGTTTGAAATCGCTGGTGTTCTTCTGACGTCACAAACTACCTTGCAACCAATCAGATCAACGTGCGGACAGCATATCATTAACAGTGAACTAGCAGGGGAGTCTCAAGAGAAGACGGGATATCCCGGTATATTTTTCTGTTAATATGACAAATCGGGTACATTTAGCAATATAGCGGGTGAATTATATATATATATATATATATATATATATATATATATATATATATGATGTATGTTATGATATTATGATGAACTATATGCTTTTCTTCACTGACGATTGGAGTTGTTCAAAGCGTTTCTAAGGATGCTGATTTCTAGAAGACAGATTGAGATGGCGAACGGGAACATGGTTTGTGTAACATTAGCAACACATCATTAGCTGTTTGATAACGTTAAACGCAAATGATAAGGTTGCACTACAAATAATCCTTATCCATCAGTTTGACTGAATAAGCTGCCAATTTGATTCATATGTTATTTTCAGACGTATTTTCCTCTTAATTAATAATTTTTTCTTTGTATTCAACTGTCACAAAACGAAGACAACATACTGTGGTCTGCTCTCCCGATTTAATTTACAATATATCCCATTAATAATTCACTGAAATGCACTAAGAATCTCTTGGTATTTCTCCCCAAAATCCTTACGTTTCTTTCCAGGTTTGTTTTCACACGGATGCTTTAAAATGTAATTGTCTCTCCTTTTCACTTCTAATCCCTATCACTGTCAAAATGACGGAAAGCACACTGAAATATTATCACTCAATGCTAAAGTTAATAAAGATTTTTGATTAAGGCAACATATGTTACATAATATAGACATATATTACTGCAGTGTAAGTATAACTGCATATATATAACCAACCCATTTTATTGCTGCGGAAAGAATCAAGCTTTTGGGGTTATCCCTTTTATTTTTTGATAGTTGAAGGGTGAGTAAATCTCATTGTACCCAGATAAATTAAAAAAAGCAAAGAAAAAAATGCATATTGTGTTGATAGAGTGAACCTTTTGCTGATTGTTTACAGTTTAACAGAAGATATTCCAATAATTTGCACAAAGCATAATGGGGCATAGGATAAAAGTGGATTAAGACCTTTTGTGCAATGGAAAGCTTCTGAGGAAGTTAAAGTTATTTTCAAGGAACCAAAGATAACAATAAAGAAACTTTATTTTTAATAGTCATTTCATGAAGTCTGCAAGAATGCACACGTTTTTTTGACCGCCAACAAATATGGGCACTGAGATATGATGCTGCACATTTAATATTTTAACAAATTATAAATAATAAAATGGAAGTTTCCTCCTCTTGTATTTCAGCCAAGGCAGCAATATATGATGTTCAGATTTGCTTGTTCAAACGTCTTTTTGCTTGATCAATTCTGAGGTCAACAAATGTTTTTTTTCAGGTCAAATTAGACGTTTTTGAAGTTTGGCAAATATGGAGGCAGACAAAAAAACAAGATTCAACAACAGAGGTCGATTGAGAGCCCATAACTGAGTAACTTTGAAAAAGCATTATGAAAACACTGCATTTTGTTTGAGCAGCCAAAAATAGCAACATTGACTAACAATGAGGTTTGGGCAGTTGTAAGTTGTAAGAAAAGTGTGTGTCAGAAATTCTAATGAAGTGTGTGTTACCTGTGCCTCCTCGCGAGCGCAGCGTGCCTTGGTGTGTTGCTGTGTTGACCCCTCCGAAGACGGTCACTCCCTGCGTGACCCCAGTGGCATGGAAGTTGTTGTAGTTGGGAATGGCAGCGACCCCAGTGACCCCACTGAAGCTGGGGTAATGCTGTGGCGTAGGGTCGACACCATATCGATAACCTACTCCGCTCTGAGACAAGCTGGTGTCCCGGTCCTCTGTTAACTTAGCAGCCTCTTTGTCCTTGCATTGCACACAGCCCATCCTCTATGATCTATGAAATGAAGACAGAGAGAGATTAGGAATAAACTACCATATAAGTACACCTTAGCATACTTTATAATAACAAATATTTTTTATATATATATATATATAAATATAAATAAAGAACACACACACACACACACACACATATATATAATATATATATATAAATAAAGAACATACTTGTGCAAACTGAATGTAATGTTTTCGAACACAATGTGATTTATAATTAAATGAAAATGTTTTATAGATAACATTTATATTAAATATAATTAGTTGAACTTAAGTGTTTTTTTGACCCACTTAAGTAGTACTTAAGTATATCTTTATATTTAATTTCATAATTACTTCTATTGTCATAATTACTTCTATTGCCTGTGAAATATGGTAAATCTTTACTGTCGAATGTACTGCAAGCTAAAATATACTTTGTCATTTAATCAATTACTATTGAAACTTGTATGTCATACATTTAAATATATTTGTAATTAGTACACATTTGAAGTTACAATTTAGCACATTTAAATTATATAACTTTAAATGTAACATTGAATAACACACAGTTACAATGATAAATATAGCTGCAAGCAGCAAATAACAGGGTTCAAGCACTTTAAGGCCTTCAAACACATTAAAAGTTTTATTAAGCAAGCCTGTAACCACCTAGATCATAGATGAAAAGACAATTTACAGACAATACAGGCAATTTACTAAGGAAATATATGGTGCAAAAGCTTTTCAACAGTTATCGAGGTTGAGCAAAAACTAGTAGATTTTTTAAATAATCTCCAATATTTAAGGAAAGATTCGATTGACAACAGTGGTCCTAGAGGTAAAGAATAAGGAGCTCTACCATATGGCATGAATGTCGTGGACATGTGCGAAAAATCACGTGATATACAATCCTTAATGCACGTTAAAAACGCGAAGAACTGGCTTGGCTCCGTTCGGGCGGAAAACTTAGCAAAAGTAGGTTTTTCAAAAAATCCAAAGCCAATCCGAGACGTGTGTTTCTGCCAAGGAGACAAGGATTCCAATGATATAAAACACTTAAGCCTGCTTCTGATCACTGTAGCGCCACCATCAGGCCTCAGTGACGTTGTAGCATCCCTCACAGTTTCAAGTTTCTACGACGTGCGGTTTGTCTGCCCGATCACTTTTAGGGGAGAATGCTGATCCTTAGGGTTTCAGCGCTTCACACTTGAGCCTTGAACCCCTAACAAGTACTTTGTGCTTTAGTAATAGTATGTTAGCCAACACATCAAAATAAGTTTACATCTTTAAACTAAGACAAAAGATAAGTATAACTTTTAATTTGACATTATTACAAAGTGCACTTATTAAACATGTACTTAAGCATGTTAAAAAACAGTCATAAAGTGTACACTTTAAGTACACTTAACCAACCTTTAATTTCAGTGTACAGTTAAGTACAGTGTTAAGTACAGTGTTATGAAATATATACAGCACAGAGGAAGAATTCATTTTTGCATAGAGATTCTTAAAAAAAAATCTTAAACAAGTAAGGATGAACTAACTGTTTTGTTTTTTTGTCAAGCTCCTCTTGTCGGGAAATTCACTCACTAAAGCACTATAGACACAAACAGCCAGAGAATGTGTGTGTGTGTGTGTGTGTGTGTGTGAGTGTGTGTGTGTGTTCGGATTTTAAAACTGAACTCGGAAGTTCAGCCCATGATCCATCAACAGCACAACAGCTGAACTGTCTGACGGACAATAAACTCCCATCAGGAAACGTCAAGATCTCTTATCCCTCTTCCAGAAGACCCTCACAGTGAAACAGAGAAAAACACACTTGTGAAGAAGTGTGCTTAACTGTGTTGAATGTGAACTTGTAGTGTACTTTAAATCTTAAAATTATATTATTTCTGTAATAAGTACTCTTTTTAAAAGTGTGCTAAAGTGTACTACTTTTTCACATGGGGAGAGAAGGCGAGATACAGAAAATGTCTTAAGGTAGTATTTTTTTCAAAGCCGAGGGGCATCTTTAAAAAAAAAAAAAAAAATTGTAAAATGTTTTGCTGAATAGTGTGCTTGTCCTATCTTTAAAATAAATGCCATTTGGTTTTATATCTAATGAAATGACAGACATACAATTCTAACTGAAGTGACCAAATATAGTAGTAAAGCTGATAGTAAACACTGTAAACTGTTTTCTAGAAACATATAAAGTCAGATTTGCTGGATACATTCTGATTCTAGATTGAGTCATCAGTGCAATAACGAATATTCATGCACTTTAAACTCCATCCAACTAGACAGAAATTCAAATGGATTTTTTATAGTCTATACTAAGAGTTTTTATGATCAAGATGGCTGGACAAAATCAGTGCACGTGTTTGAAAGAGAGAAATAAATGTGTGTATAAAAGCCATTTTTCCTGCTATAATCCAGATCTGTATCAGATTGAAATCTGCAAAGATATAATTTTTCAGTTTTTGAATTTAATCGATGTTTTTCAATGCTGTGCCAGAAGTGGGAACGCATGGATCTCAGTGTTCTTAGCTACGACAGGATTTGCTCATCTTCACTTATGTCTCCTACAGACACACACTGAGGCTGCTAGCTCACTCTGTCTGTACCCATCTCTGACAGGAACATCCGGGAACGGAGAATCCCCTGCTTCGGCTTCCTCTCTCGCTCTGTTTTTCCTCTCATCTCTCTCAGACGGACCCCTGCTGTGTGTCAGTGAGCAGACTAGCACTCTTACACCTACGAGCAGGTCTCCTGTCGTCTCGCTCTTCCACTAATCCACAAAGCTCTCTTTCCATCTTTTATATTTGTCTACCTCTACCATGAATAATGTATGCCTTTCTTGCACTTAAGCAGAAGCACCTGCATGCTGTCAGAGGCGTTACCTGAGGTTCAGCCCACATCCTCTCATTTACAGCTCAAGAGTGCCCATAAACAACAGCTTACTGCAAACATGAACCCACAGCTCTCCACGGGATTCACTGAAGCTACAGAACGTTGACCCCAGGAAATCAACGCAGGCTTATTGGAAAAAGTGACTGTGGCGACAGTTTTGCTGCTGATATTACATTGCTTTTGTAATGTCCAGTAAATGGCGCTAAAAGCATGATCAGTTTGATCCAAAACAGATAAATGTGAAATGAATCTGGAAAAGTTTTATTACGGTTGTTGTTGTACATATTGTTGCAGTTCGGAAATGATATGTCCGATAAGTGGCGTTGAAGGTAAATGCTCTTATCGCGTTTGAAAACCAAAGCAAATCGTCTGATAAAAATGCATTTGCTTTTCGATGTCGAAGTGCAACACTGTACCAGGTGAGCTACTGAGAAAGTTTACTACCGGTATGTCAGAAAATATGGAGCTGGTTATGTGATGAAAACATCAAAATGTAATCGTAACACATGCAACTGTGCAAAAATAAGTCTTTATTAATCAATCTGCCTCTGTAGTCATAATTTGTGTGGAAAGGAATAGAAGTAGTTGGTGTTTTACTGCCATTAGTGTTTATTTCAACTGAAAACAGCAGTGAATTAGGTACAGTTTAGGAGTTTTAAAAATGTAGTTAGAGGCACGTTTTTCCAATAAGCCTGTGTTGCAGGAAATCTATCTGTAAAAGCTCATTGTGTGACAGAAACACTGCACGGATTAACTTTACTTTAAACTGCTTTTGCAATGTAAATCATTGTACTATGCTTACATAAATCTGAATCTTTAATCTTTAGGTGCAAAGTGTAATGTCGATGACACCAATTGGAATTTCCAAAACTAACCACTGTTTGCCAACACACAGAAGCCCACAAAGATCACACATTATTATTATTATTTTGTCTGATTACTGATTCATTCTTTTCTGTGATTGACTGTGTGATTTTCTATGACTGGAGCATCATAATCGATTAAACCTGATCAGGGCTGAAACATTCGGTCTCAATTTCACATGGAAGCACACAAAAGCATTTTGAATGGTTGTGATCTGTCTTTGTTTTAATTTTTCTTTAATAATTAATTACTTGAAAATGTTTAATTAATAAACGAGTAAGTGTCCATTTTTCTGTTGCATCTAAATTGATATAAATAGTTAAGACATTTTTGTGGAATTAGTATTGAGTATAGTACTATAGTACTGTAGTATAGTACTGAAATGTTGATACTTTGACAACCCTATTTTCAGCCAAAATATACACCGTTATCATGAAATTACTCAGATTTACTCATGAAATAAGATGCCTACTTATATGGGTGACATTCACACAAATTGATGAAACTAAGGGTGTGTTTACAGGACAATGATATGCTTAAAATAGAAAAGTTTTCCGCATACAGACGACACCATTGTAAAAACGATCCCCTTTCACACGGATCCGTGAAAACGACTAAAAACGCTGTTTTCTGCTGCCAGGACATTAGATGACGATGTAACACTACAGATTGAACACGTAATACGCATGTGATTAATGTCATCGTCTTCAGAGATTCGCGTTTTTGTTGTTTACAGGGTTTACACGTTTTCAAAAGTTTGCGTTTTCAGGCACCCAAAACGCTGTTGTGGTGTAAATGAATGGCCAAAACACAGAGTTGTACATTTTTAGTTTAAAACGGTGTCGTGTAAACAGCCACTAATAATGACACAAGGGCTTGTTATTTAGGAAATGTGTTAACTATAACACTAATTTGTGATTTATGGATAACAGACCGTACCAAAAAAAGGGGGGGGGGGGGGGGGGTTTGCAGGACTACATTTGCACACAGGTTGTAACACATGTTAGTGAATGAGACACTTGAAGTGACAAGATAAGAAGAGAAGGGCAATGAAAGAAGAGATTGGAGAAGAACAGCGGTAAAGACAAGATGTGATGGATGGAAAGGGGGCGAAAAGAGACGTGAAAAGAGGAGAGAAGCATGAGAGGAGATGAGATGAGAGGACAGGAGAAACAGGAGATGAGAGGAGACAAAAAGAGAAGCGAAAAGTAGAGGGGACGAGAGGAGAGGAGGTTAATGAGATTCTGCAGATGACAAGTG